TAATTCTCTAAAAACCCAAACAAATTTAAAATGCACTTAAGGAGATAAAGTTATCTGGTGAAGAGATGTCAAGGTTTTTGGTAAAATTACAGCTATAATCAAGTCAAATTCAGACCAGATCCAATCTAATTATATTAAATCCAAATCTCGACTAGTAGGGGAGTTAATGTGGTTTGGTTTGCAACTATAAACACCAGATTGTTTTTCTTTTCCTTTAATATGATTATAGACATGGTTTTTAAAACCGAATCGGTGATCGAATTGGTCAGAGATCTGGTTATTGGTTCGAGTGGTCTGACCATTCAACCCGAACCTATTCTGATAAAAAAATAAAAAAAATTTAAAAAAATTAACCAGCCAATTCAACGGTTTGCTGACCAAAATCAACGGTTTTAGGGAAAAAATGGGTTTGAGGAAAAACAGAATGACCGGTTCCCAATTTTTCCAGTCCAGTCCGATTTTGAAAACCATGATTATAGATATATAACAAAAATACTAAAAAAATCAATAGCTGGTTTTGTTTGGAGCTGGGTTAAAAATATGTTTGGGGCAGTATCGGCCCGTTCTGATAAAAAAATAAAAAAATTTAAAAAAATTAAAAAATTAAAAAAATTGAAAAATTAACCAGCCAGTTCAACAGTTTGCTGACCAAAATCAACGGTTTTAGGAAAAAAACGGATTTGAGGAAAAACAGAATGACCGGTTCCCGATTTTTCTGGTCCAGTCCGATTTTGAAAACCATGATTATAGATATATAACAAAAATACTAAAAAAATCAATAGCTGGTTTTGTTTGGAGCTGGGTTAAAAATATCTTTGGGGCAGTATGTTGTAAACCTGGAACAATGGAAGGATTTATTCGGGGTTGGAAAATGCAAGATCTCAGTAAATAAGGAAAAATTCTTTTAATGAGAACGTCAACACAATAGTATATCTCCATGTGTTCATCATGTTACATACAATCTCTAAAACAAGTGGACATTATAATAATGGAAAGCTGGAACCTACCAATGGGACCTGCTTGCTTGGACAAACAGCTCCCACGGTAACTCCTCGGTAACTTGTAAAAAGAGAAAAGACATGACCCAAACTTTTTATTTAAAACAGTAACAATGCACTCATAGCCCATAGTTTCAACTTGTAAATAAAATTAAATTTCAGCAACTCTTTAATATTCTATTACTCTAATGAGTCTCAATATTGAAATATTTGAGGTTTTAACTTAAACAATTCACAACCTTGTAATTTGGATCATAGTGGTCTTAGGATGCTTCCAGTTTCAGACTCCTTTCTTATTCTTAGTTGAAGAAGATTTTAATAAATCCACTTCAAGAGGTTATTAACTAATGTCAATAATTATGGCCTGACAAGTATGATAACATGGATTCAAATATGAGAAAGGTCACTTCATACACAAAATACTGGAGGTTAGGTCCATATCTACGGATGTAATTGAAGGGATGAGAGATCCATCATATGGATAGCCGAACCCTGCAGGTAGGTAGGGCGAAATTTCAAAAATTTCTCTCTCTCCCATGTGGGAATTACATTCCCTGTTTTAGAAAATCTGCATTTTCAAGGATCAATCTTGAACTAAGAACCAAACCAGATCTGAAACCAAAAGGTAGGAGAGGGATGTACCTGATACGGAGTAGCAGTAACTCCCAACGAAGGTGTTCACATCCAAGGAAAACTCCAAAGATTGCTCCCACTGAAGATGACATAGCGTAGAGTGGAGCAGAATCAGCAGGTTCTTCACAAGAACCGAATCCTTCAGCAAGAATTCGATGGAGGGTATGTGAGCACGACTTCAAATCAGTTTTTCTCCAAAAACTTATATCAAGAACACTTCTTGATCGCTCCTACAGTGGAGATCGAACTGGCAATGGCGGCAACAGGAGGAGGGCACAAGAGCAGAAGATGGCGTAGTCTTACTGTAGTTGTCTTCTCTCTTTTTGTGATCTGAGATCTGTTGTAATGAGATGTTGTATTGAATGGTCCACCCCCCTCCTCCTTTTATAGCCTTAAAGAGATCAGCTCCTAATCCTATTAGGAGTTTCCTGATTCAAATCCTTATTTGAATATGGACTCTCTTTAAGTGATAAGGATAAGCCCTTATCTTATCTGTAGATTAGATCAGCCCTCATAATCTCATTAAGAGCTTCCTGATCCAAATCCTTATTTGGATCTGGACTCTCTGAGTGGATAAGGATAATCCCTTATCCTATCTGCTGATCCAAATCCCAGATCCGCCCCTCTTTAACTAATAAATTAGACCAGTTCAAAATGGGCTTTAGGCCCAATAAGTCCAAGTGCTCACTAACCTTCTAGACTGCTACCCAGTTGGGTTTCCTTATATGGTGTGGAACCCAAACATTGATCTACACATCAGCCACATGGGTTCAGCCTAGCCTCTGTTACAAGGCCTGGCCGAATTCACTGTTATGGGCAGTGAACCCCTGAGCCCATCACCATGAGCTCTTAATGGGCCCAACACTTACACTAAGTGATCCTTGGGCCAAGCCACCTTATAAAAACCCAAGGACTGTGTGCAGATGCAAGATTAGCCCATCAGGCATTACCCTCAATGGTCTTACACTTAATCTCTCAGCCCATAATGATCAAACACTGCCCGACAAGAGATGACCTCTCCCTCGGCTCCAAGGAATAGTGCTGCACTCTCTACTCACATGGATCCTGGGAATTAAAACCTTTTGCAAACATTTTGAAACTATAATATATATGTATTTCTTTATATAAATATATTTTGCAAAAACAAATTTCAATGATTGAAATCGGCTGCCGACAGCTTTGGTTTCCACCAGAGAGAGTGCATCCCCGATCATTACCTTTGTCCGACAAAGGGGCTGATCTTGTCACTATGATCACCCACTCAGATGAATTCTCGGACTGTCC